GACTGTGGGTCTTTTAAGTTGTGCATCAGTAATTTAAGCTGTTAAAACCATCTTGTTATTAGTATCTTTAAAATCCATTGAATCGATTAGAAAGTGACAGGGAGGTGTTACCTGTAATTTTTGGTGGCTTCAATTGTGACCAACAGGTTTTTCCATGTTATGATTTGTTAAATGGTTTTCTGATCTTTAAATATAGGTTGGTTCAACTCTCCTAAAAAATGACTGTATGATATTATCACTACAACTGGTGGCAGCACACATGTGGCATTGTGCTGGGTACACTTCATGGTTGGATCATGGCTGTAATTTATGATAAAGGTATCTAAAGGTTTGTAATAGACACACCTATTCTATGTCACACTGTGCATATTTAGAAAGACAACATTTATTTGTTAATCCTCAGCCTTGAAACCAGGAGCAAGGTGAGCCAGGCATATGTATTCTATCATCTTCTCAAGTCCCTGAGTGGCTTTTAAGAACACTTGTGTAGGAGGAATTAGAAGAAGGAGTACTGCACTCAATGAGTAGTGTGGTTCCTCCTCCCTAAGTTTCTTCTATAAGTATGTTTGGCTTCTGAGGCCAAACTGTTTTAGGTGTTAGTGTACATGTACCTTTTTTCATGGAGGCTGACTGTTAAATGTTTTGAAATGCATTAAATGTGGCTGGTGATTGCTCTTAAACACAAACATTTAATTATTTAATGCCAATACCTTAATTATGACTATTATTGATGTTACTTTCTATAAGTAGAAAGAGAAGAGTAGAATGCTTTGGATCATACCATGATGACTTGTGTATTTTTTCAATTCCATTAATTTGTTGACTAAAGCAAGAAAGCTGGCTTGGGAGAAAATGTTACCATTTAAGGGTAAACAATATACTGCATAAAATTGTGTTAAAAGAGGTGGGCAGTCTGGATCAGTGTAGGAAGCTGAGCAATAAAGCTGCTACATGAAATACCTATATCAGTCTCTTGGTCAGCTGGCAGTTCATACCCTTTCTCCCATGTGAGGAATACAGATCACTGTCTTAGTAAAGAAGAGAGAATAAACCTTTTTTCTAATCATAGTAACAACCAGGGGGAAAATTTGTGAATTTCATCTAGTATGTTGTGTATGCATTCTTCCAATCTTATTGCCTGGTAAGAAAATGTTGGTTTTTTCCCCAACTAGAAAATCAATTGTTGTTAACATCATCAAAATGACAGCAACCTATCTTTTAAAACCATTCAATTTCAAAGTTTTCATTGACTTTTGGACTTAGTGTTGTTATTGAGAGCTACTTGTAACTTTAGCCAAGGTAAATAAACTAGCTTATTTAATGACTAAATATTAGACTCATGTTCCATTTTGTTGAATTGTGTGTATAGCTGAGTGCTCAGGATGTGTCTTGCCTCTAAGCCAGCCAAATAACACTGCTTATTGTTACATTTTGCAGTTTTTTGCCTGAATTTTTTTTACAGTTATGGGAGAAGAGTTTAATTTATGTGTGGTTGAAACTGTTATGATGAAACCAGCTTGATTGGGTGGCATTATTTCCTTAGTATTCTGTATGAATAGCTATGGAAAATGACTGATTAATAAAGAGTTAATCAATCACATTGGCCAGCAACAGTCTTGGTAGCCATGATTCCTTTTTTCATTCATAACTGTTAATGAGCTTTCATTTTTAAGGTCAACTTTGTGATGGAATTGTTTGTACTGTTCTCAAGAGTTGTTTTAAAACTTGGGCTTTTCTCAAGGTGCTAGAGTGTGGCAGTCAAATCAATTGAAAATATTCTTAATCTTATCAATAAAAATCATTAATCATGTTTCTTTTTCCTTTTGTTAACTCGTTTACTCCCTGAGTGATTGAGATGTGACTTCTCCATACAATTTCAAACTGTTCACAGAAGCTTACAAGAAATAAAAATGTGACAGATGAGAATTTCCAACAGGAATACTTATATACCACCAAAATTAATAAATAGAAAGTGTGGTGAGGAGGTAATTTAACAGTGCACATCATTAGTTGTTCATATATGGGTTAACTAGGGGTTTAGTTGTAATGAAACATAGACAGGAAAAAAAGTACAGTATCATAATAGTTTGCTTTGATAATAATTTGCTTCTGAGGTGTGTGTGTTAATCCATTCAAAATTGTACATGTATGTACCCTGTCAAGAGAGGTTTTCTTGACTCTTCATGTGTGAGGCTCCCAACAGTTTCCACAGCTGTTCGTGGGTAATGAATATGGAACCAGTGAACTGATTGAAAAGATTGGTGTTGAGTTAGACACCATTTTAAAAGTTACAGGAAAAGCTTTTGACCCCTCTCTTTATTGTCTACATCTACAGGTGAGCTGTCACAATACCTCTCTACGAAATCGTTGGAAATTAGGGAAATTTAGTTTTATCAACTGGGTTGATAACGTAAATAAGCCATCATAAAGAGTTTCAAAGCTGGCGTTTCGAGCGTTATTACCCTTCGTCAGAGCGAATGATGAAGGGCTAACGCTCGATTGAAACATCAGGTTTGGTATTTTCAGAGAGAGGAAATTTTTAGGCTTTGTAAATGAATAGTTACAGTAACAAGTGCGTAAAACTTGTAGAATTTCAATAAGTGTTATATCTGTGACAACCCCTTGTTTTGAGATGAACTGAGTTAATAAACATGTCGAAAAATTATCTTTCTTGGTATATGGATCGGAGTGAGTTTGATATGAATCACCAGAATGATGGTCGAGTTATAGCGAAGCTGCCCGTTTGGTGCCAAAGTTTTACTTATTGACTGTATTCTCAGATGTATTGCGTCGCTGAGTTAACGTAAATAAATGCTGTTACGATGTAGGTGGTTTTAAAAGGATTTCAGTCCCCGTTATAAAATAGTGAAACAACTTTCAGAGAAGGGTAATCATTCAAGTAGCAAGGCTAAGGGCGGATCCAAATGACAAATTTGTGGTTACAAATTATGAGTTATCAAATGGGTTGACACGCGGCCTAAAAACCGTTTGCAACTTAAAAATCCTTCACCAACAACAAATCAGAAAGCAAGGTACTTGTTCACATTTACAATAAATTTAACTTACTATTCGAAATCACCAAAACAGTTTGATCGTTTTCAAACGCCAACCTACTACAAATACACTTTTGGCAAGTCCGTTGAAATTTGGACATTTCTATTGTAAGTTGCACAACAGGAACCGAGGGATTTTCATGGCATGAATAAATGCAGCATTAAATCTCTTGTGTCGGAATAGTGTCTCACTTGACTTCAGTTTTTCAGTGGAAGAAGGACAAGATTTGCGCACGCCGGTGCAGCAAACAAACGAACAGACTCTCACTACTTCAAAACATACATTTAAAAAAGGTGACACTGACTTTCTTTGTCACTTAAAATTTAACAGAGGTAAATTTAGGTGGATTAATCGCCGATGGAACTGAATAATACTCTCCTTAACATCACTGATTGT